AATATATATATATATATATATATATATATATATATATATATTAATCTTTTTTGTCTCTATCTTGTTAATTTTCTTGTAATGTTTCTTTTATATTGATGTAGTAGAGGTCTTCAATTTTATAAAGGAAAAAAAAAGTGTCTTAACAATGAATGTCACTTATGTGAGTACAAAAGAAACATGAATGTCACGAGGCCTAATTTATAGTAACTCCAACAAATTAAGTTTGGGACACAAAGTTGAACTAATACATATGTTATTCCAATACAAAATGTTAAAAAAAATTAACGATAAAGATTGAAAGAATTAAAAAATTAAATGTATAAGGGCTAAAAAGATCTTTCTAAAACTAGAGAAATTAAAAGGATAAGTATAGAGACTAAAAATCTTTTAAATTATAGAGACTAAAAAGTAAAGTAAGTGAAATTATAAAAATTAAAAAAGTATTTTAACCTAATTTTTTTATGTTGTTGGTAAAACTGCTTATTTTACTCGATGTTACATTGTATTAAAATGTTGAGCTGTTAGTAAAATTTACGAATCCATGGATGGGACTATATAAATTAAGGCAGTAATAATATAAATATATTCTCATTAAGTTTGTTAATTTCTAATATATAGGACATAATATGTGTAGTTTGTCTTATTGGTTGCTCTTCTTGTTATTTTTTTTCTTTTGGTTACATACGAGAGAAGAAACAAAAGAGAAAATATAGAAAACTAAAACCAAAAAACACACCAAACAATTAACCCTTCCTTAGAAACAAGGTATATCCATCTCATCTGCAAGGAGCCCCGACCTCAACCAAGCATGCTCGCCCAGCATCGCTAATTGGCTAGATGAGGATGCTCCCAGTTTGGTGAGATTGGCCTTACGCAGTAGGTGATGCATGCTACACTCCTAGTCTCTTGTCATCAATTCTTGAATAAGAAAGATCTCATTCGCAAAACGGTGACAATGTTGGACCCTCCTTTTGACCAAGTGGATAACTGAGTAGCAAGTCACCCTCCGATATCCTCTATTCCAACATATATGAAGCCCTTCAAGGAGAACCACAATCTTCGCATAAATACTATCCACGTATGGACCGACCATAGAAGCCAAACAAAAACATGCTATGCTCATCTCTCCCCAGACCCCCAAAACCAGCTACTTGAGATTCTCATTGCACACTACTATTGACATTTTAAAACGATAGCCCCCAGAGGAAGACAAACCCAAGCAATCCAATGTGGAGCTTCATGTTGGGGCACATCCACTCTAAATGCATTTTTAGAAACGCTTTTAAGCGTGTGCACCTTTGAGTACACTTCCATGCATGCACCAAACTACCCATAACAATATTGGAATCACAACCCCATGTTGATCAATTAGGCCTTTCAACTAGTGGAGCATACGAGTATCATGGCCTGTCGAAGCTTGCAATTGATCAAACCCATAACCCAACTAGAAAGTGGTCACATGAGGACAATCAAAAACATTGATGCATAGAGGATAGGAAGAGTCAAGACTTCTATGCCTCCTAGCAAGGATGTTCCTGACTGGGAGACCCATAAGAAACAATTTCCAAACAAAAAATTGTATGTTTGTCGACGTAGGTAGCTTCCAAATTGATGACCATGATATGACTTCATCTGAACTATCTACCATCCTAATAAGCCACTTGTAGGCACTACAGATCGAGTATTTGTCAGAAATATCAGGACTCCAAACCCACTCATCAGGTAAGTGAGGAACACCGGTTGCAGCTCCAAAAATCTTATATGTTACCTCGTTAAGGAGGGTAGTGTACAATGTGTGCAGACAAGAGAGTTGTGTTGCACCATATGGCCAAAACGATGGCCATTCTTGACAAATGATGTCCAAAGTTGGCTTGACAAATGAAAGATTTCCCATACCAACTTGCCGAGCAAGGTTGTATTGTGTTTGTGACCCTTCTAATACCTAAACTACCATATTTCCTTGATTTGGTCATCATGTTCCAACCAACCATGTGAGCCCCCTACCGTACATACCTTTCTAGACGAAAGATTGAATCACCTTATTGATATAATCACAAATATACCTTGAGTACAATTGCAATTGCATTCCATAAGAGTTGATCATGAGTTTCGGTTCAAAATTAGTATTTTGAATTTTTATTTTTACTTTTAGTCTCTAAATAATTTTTAATTAGTTTCTTCTTCTGACTTCACTAGAAGGGTCTAGATCCTCCCTCAAAGCAGTTCCAGCTAAGGAGTTGAGAATCAAAGATAAAAATTATTGTACTACAAGTTTCAAAGGTTGCCTATGGGTAAAAGATAAACACCGGAAGGGGTGTTAAATAATGTGTATCAAAAATTCACACTTTTTCTTAGTAAAGTAGTAACTCTAGTCAGATAGAGTATGAAGAGCAGTCAGATGGAATACCAGATATTTTTATACTAATTCGTCTTAATCACTGAGACTACGTTCAGTTTTTAATCCAACCAGATTGAGTACCACTATATTTAAATAAAGATACAAGTATTATTTCAATAAGTCACTTCTAGCTCAATCCTAAGTATTTGACATGTCTTTTAAAACAACTACCTAAATATTCTTTTAATAAGTTTCTTCAAGCTTAACAATCAAGTATTCTTTTTACAAACAAGTCTCTCTAAGTTCAACAACCAAATATTATTTTACGGATAAGCCTCTCTAGGCTCAAAACAAGTATTCCTTTTCAGAAAAGTTTCTTTAAGCTTGATAATGATGCCAAACATTATTAAATAAAACTAGTTTCCCCTATAAATTTTGTAACACAAGGAATCTAGGTCAGAATCGAGAATCACAAACCATAGAACACGAATTTTGCCTTGCAAGTTAGTTAGGGTATTTTTATCAAACACTTTATGTGCGAAAATTATAAACTAAAAATTAAACTCAAGAATCACAAATTTGAGAATCCAATCGAATAAAACACCCATTCAAGTTTTGATATTGTAGTATAAAAAGTATAATCCGATCTAAAATCTGTTTCATATTGTTCCAATCCAAATTGAATACATTCGGTGTTCTAAAGTTAATTTGAATTAATTCTGTTCTTCAATTAATCAAAACAAAATTCATAATCATGAATTTAATTCAAAATTAATTGAAGAACAAAGAAGATGAGAGGAATTCGGATTTGAGAGAATTTTACCACATAATTGAAAACTTGAATCGATTAAGAGAACTTAACCGCGCATCTCTATCATTATGCGTGCACAAATCTGTTCGGAGAGAAGATGAAGAGTCTTAGCCAAACTAGAGAGGAATTCGTGAGAGAGAAGAGAGTTGAGAGAAAATGAGAGAATTATTTTGAGCAAGAAATCTCAAATATGAAAAATGAAGTAAAAATGTATACAACAAGTCTCATAACATCTATTAATAAAGAAATATAGTAGGTCTAATCTGAGTAATTAAAAGCCCAACTCACTAAATCAACTAATTATATCACAAAACAAATCCTAACATTACAATTTAAAAACAAACAGAAAATACTGCACAGGGCTGCAACTTTGCACTGCCTTTTCGGACCTCTTCCAATCTGAATTGGCTCTGGGCTTCAATAGAGAAATTGTAGAACTCTCTCTAAGCTTTCCAACGATACCAATAACGTCCCAATCCAAGTTTGGGAGCTCCATGTATGGCCCGCTAAAGACAGAGTGTTCAAGTGGATAAAAATCCAAAAATTGATTAAGATTTACCACAATCATCAAATAATACTACTATCATAAATCTAAGCCAAAACATGAATATAAGAGACATGAAAAAGTTAAAAAGGCCAAATAAATACATACAAAGTTGTTTCCTAAAATGCATTATCAAGGTCCAATCTTATAACAATGGTTATGAATGTTACACAAGTGTTGTATTCGTCTCATTTAGACATTATACAACCAGTATAGAGCAATGAAAGTTTATAAGAAAAAATAAATTTATAGAGTATGTTTTTATACAAAGATGTATATGTGTGTCACTTATGTAAAATTGTGTCTCTGTCTTTCTTGAGTTTTAAATCTTTTTATATTGTCACTCGGAGAAGATAATCATTCCAATGCTTTAAGTCCAAGTCACAAGTTTGTTTCGTCTGTCTTCATCATCTTTCCTTGTGATGGCAGGTAATCGTTCATCTCATTTAATGCGAGTATTAATTGTATTTCACCAAATGGTACTCCTTATTTGATTAAAGAGACTACTTATCATGTTTTCATATCAAACGGATCTTGTAGAGGTAATGTTAGCATAGTGTAGCAATAGTAGTGACTTTATCTACTTTTCTCCATGATTTTAGGGATCTTTGTCCTTGATCTTGATGAAAAGTATGATCTTGTTCTCTTTAACAGATTTATAAGTTCCAAGATGATCTTCTAGTTCGATCTGTTAAGGAATGAAACACTCGAAAGCTTTTGTCGTTAGTCTCAATAAATAATATGCATTTAATGTATACAAGACAACTTATATTCTTCATTTAATTTACAACATTTTACAAACGATTTGTATCTTACACTTCATTTGATAAGTGTTTTTCAAAGACATTTTTTAGGATATTAATTTATTCTTTATAAAAACATTTTGTTTGTTAACATCCAAACTCTAAGTTCAAGGGATCCATGATCATTTTTTGACTTAACATTGCCATTTTTCGTCTTTCTTTCCTTTTTCCTTGATTTTTGAAGTAATTGAGGTAAATAACTTTGTATTTTCTTCATATCTTGAGTAGTTGTTGCTTATTGATGACTTGTTTAGCCCATTGGTGACATGTTGTGAAGATCTAGAAATGTTGGTTGCTTGACTTTCTAGGCTTTTTTTTAGTGTTTTGGCTCTTAAAGAAGAATTGATGATTTTAAATCATGTTGTATGAAGTGTTTCCATTGATTTATAAGTTGTACAAAGTGTGTGTAAGTTGAATTTCCAGTTTCATGTTGAAATCATGAAGGATGATGTGTGGGTTTGAAGTGAGAAAGTGAGTTTTCATGATGTAAAATTCTATTCTCGCCTAATGAGATAATACATTGCTCAATACTCATTCATAGTTGAAGAACATGTTGCCCATAATCATAATCTCACTTAACAACAAAAGCATCGCCCAACTAGAGAATGGTTATCTGGGTGAACTCACCCAATGAGACATAGCACACCTGACAAGAAGGCCCACAGGGGGTTTTTCTCACTCAATAAGCTATCACCTAGCAAAAGGGCCCACAGAGAATTTTGTTTGCTCACCACTTAGTGATGAACTCCAATGGAGTTTATTCGGCTAGTGAGACAATATTCGCCCAACAAGAGAAGTCACATTGCATTTTCTTCGATGAGTGAGAATAGCTTGCCAAATAAGGAGCTCCAAATTTCTCATCTCGCCCAATGAGACTACTCACGTCCAACGAGAACCCTATTTTATAACTTGTTTATATCTTATGTTTTTACTTATCTCTTCAAGTTGTAAGTTGAATAATTGTGGAACTTTGTTGTAATATGTTGTTTATGATTGAAGAATCATGTTGTAGAATATTAAAGTGAAGTATGTTGAGTTGTTATGAGTTGATTTGTATAATATTTCTGAGAGTTGCATATTGTATGTTGAATGAGTTGAGATTATTTAAGTTGAATTGAGTTATGTTGAGAAGATGCATAATGCATGTTAATGAGTTGTGAAGTTGAACTTAGGACCAGAGGAGAGTGTGTTATTTCATAAGTTGAAATATCCCATTATGTAGATATGAGTTATAGTTCTCTATGAATCCAAAGTTAAAAACCCTTCAGAGAGAATGTTGCCTCCTAAAATAGAGTGTTGTTTTTATAAAGTTGTCTCCTCTAGGTTCTTAGTGGAAACAATATGGAGGCTAGGTCGATCCATAGTGTTGTTGAAGTGACCTATAGAGTAAAGTATGAAGTTGGAAATGGGTGCAATATTTGGAGAGTAGTTAACAAGCTAACTCCATATAGGTTTAGTTGTTGATACTAATGTCATGGTAAGTCCACACCCAAGTTGTCCTATTCTTGATAATAATATTGGATTTCTTAGTTTAAGTAGAGACATTCGAGAAATCAATAAAGTTGTTAAATTGACATTAATATGGCTAATGTTGTATTGACTTGGCATTGGTATGCCAAACATTATATTGACTTGATCTCCTCTTTACGGATCAAATGTAGTGATTCAGTAGGTTAAGTCATTTAAATTTCTCACATGCGTTGTAAGAGATCTCTTAGTTAGAAATGTGCGATATTGCATAAAGTTGATGTGTTGTAAAGTTAATGCATTATATATATTTTTGAATGCTAATTTGTAAAGTTGTTAATCATATGTGTTGTGAAGTTAATCTAATAAGTTGATTATTTGTGTTAGAGCTATGATTGTTGTTGAGTAGTTCATGTTGATTATGTTAATTTAAAAGACGATCTTAGATTCCTCAAGTCTTATAGTTTTAATCCTATCAAACAAAATGTTTTATAGGAGAAAGTAGATATAGTCATTGTTGCTACTACGTTGCCCTAACATTGTTTCTACAAGCTCTGTTTGGTATGAAAAGTTGATAAATAGCTTCCTTGATCAAATAAAAGGTATCATTTGATGAAATACATTTGATGTTTGCATTAAATGAGTCAACGATTACCTCCCATCTTAAGGAAAGACGTAAGATAGATGAAACAAACTTGTGAATTGGACTCAAAGTGTTACAATGGTCATCTTCTTCAAGCTACTGTGTAAGAAGATTCAAAACTCAAGAAAGAAAAAAAGTACTTATAAGAGAAGACACACTTTTATAGAAACATATACTCTCTATAAAATATAATCACTATTTCTTGTAAAAGCTTACTGCACTATACTAATTGTATAAGTCTACGTGAGAGATTTAAATAACTTAACCTACTGCACTATACTAGTTGGAGCTCTCCTTGTTCTTTAGAAACGTGAGAGAGAAATGAGAAGTCAGAAGCATAAACTGAAACTTCCGCTGAACTCCTGATAACCTCATTTTCTTAAAATAATAATAATAATAATAATATTATTATTATTATTATTATTATTATTTAGCAAAAGATCACTACATCCATCCTTTCCTGCTCATAAAATAATTAATACAATATAATATAATTAAAATACACCTCTTCTCTTTAATGAAATAACATAATCATAATTATTAATAAAATACAATTTGTAAAAATTATCGATATATCACCAATCAAAATAATAATTACAAATCATACTTTATAATAAAATAGTGCTCATATAAGTAATTAAATAACATCAAAATCCTTTAATAAACACATTTAAAATATTAAAATAATTTCTAAAATATTATTATTGTAGGGTATGAAAGCTGAGATATTACAACTCTCTCCTTTTTTGAAATTTTGTCCCCAAAATTTACTTGTTGAGAACAACATCGAATATTCTCGCATCTGACTCTCAAATTCCCATGTTACACCGATTACATTAAGATTATTACTTCCATAATGAATTTATTTTTTTATCAAATTGAAGACTAGTCTCTCTTTTCCTTTAGGAACATATTAAGGTTATCCCTCTCACGAACATTTTTTATATTGACTTTTTTTTATCATACTAAAGACTAGCCTCCCTTGAAAATTTCTATCATGATCATTTTATTATTAAATTTAAGACTAAAACTCTCGATACCTTAGATTTGAGGCAGTACCAATATTAAATCAGATATTTTAATAATATAAATCAAATCAATTGAATTGAATTAAAAAAAATTAACATGTATATTTCCAAAAATATTTTTATTTATTTATGGTTTGTGAGAACAGGTTTGGTTGGGTACTAGGATGAGTGGAGGCGTGCCAGTTGGCTTTTTTCCCAAAACTCAGCTGTCCCCTGATTTGTACAACTCTCTGCATCTCACTTCTGACTCATTTCACTTTGTCTTGTCCTTTCCTTTTGTTTTGTTTCTCTCTCACTATCTCTCTTCTCAAATATTCTTCTTTCGGCTACAAGATTCTTTCTTTCCTCACGCCATCTCCAATTCAATTCTTACTTTGTATTTTTCAGAGCCACCCCAATGATTCAAAATTCATTTTTTTTCTCTTTGTTTTTACCATTCTCTTCTTTCTTCTTCACAAAAGGAGATCGGATATGGTAATGGTGGTGAGGGGGTTTGTTATTATTACTACCGATACAGGTCTTATATCCATTATAATACTAAATAATTTTGAATCAAAATGTTTTGTTTTTTTTTTTTTCACTTTGCTAATCTATTAGCTGATTTTGACTTTTTTTTTTCTCCTGTAGATGTTCATTTTAGTGGGGTACTCTATTGAAAATTGGCCAGATTGTGCGGGCCTTCAAAGTTGGATCTTGGCTCGCAACATACGTGGACGAGTTCTCTTCATTGGTGTTGGTCCTTTGTGAGTAAGTGAGCGATCCAATTTGAACAAAATTGAATTGAGGGTTTGAGTGGTGAGAGAGTGATTCTGATTTGTGACATGGAAGTGTTGTTTAATTGTAAGCTGTCACAGTTAATGGGTGGTGGCACTGTGAGATCCTTGGCTTGCAAATGTGTGTTTCTGCTTGTTGCTGTTTTGATTCTCAGAGCTCTGTTGGTTCCTCCCTCCCCTGGCTTTGGTGGGGTTGAATGGAGCAACCTTGGGTATATCAGGAACAATCCTCCATCATTTGGTTATGGGGTTAGGCAAGATAAGTTTTTGGAGGTTCCTCAGATTGTGTGGGGATTGAACAACCAGAAGATTGCATTTGCAAGGGCTTGCCTCACTGCTAAAATGCTCAATAGAACTCTATTGATGCCTAGTCTTAGTGCCTCCTTGTTTTACAAAGAAATTGACCTCTTGCAACCAATTTCCTTTGACAAGGTGTTTCAATTTGACAAGTTTAATGCATTGTGTAGTAGGTTTGTGCATCTGGGTCGGTACTCGGATCTCTCGAACCGAACACGAGTGATCGAAATGCAGAAAGGGAGTGGTAGGAAGTGGACTGTGGAGAGGGATTTGGATCAATTGACACAGCATAGCAAAGGGGAAGTTGATGACCATGAGGTGATTAGGATAGTGGGGAAAAACCCTTTCTTGTGGCATGATCATTGGCCTGTGAAGGACTATGCAAAGGTTTTTGAGTGCTTGGTTTTGATAGATGAGATTGGTCAAGAAGCAGATAGAGTTGTGTCTAGGATTAGAGCAATTGGAAGAGAGATACGAAGCAATAGTGAGTCAGTGGAATTGGAGAATGATAAGTCTTCTTTTGAGCCTCTTCCATATGTTGCTGTCCACATGAGAGTGGAAATTGATTGGATGATTCATTGCAAGAAGTTGGAGCAGAGATTAAGCACAAACCAAATATGTAGTAGCAAGAAAGAGATAATGGAAAGAGTTGGCAACATCAAAGGTTTGAAGACTCCCCTTGTTGTTTATCTTGCTGTGGCTGATAAACTCCTCCAAAATTCTTCCATACTAGAAGGTTGGGAAGAAGGTTTTCTACCATATGAGAAGAAGAAACTTGGTGTTGATGGAATTTACAAAAAGTATCCATATCTAATTCAGTCTGCAATTGACTATGAAGTGTGCTTGAGGGCTGATACCTTTGTGGGAAACAGTTTCTCCACATTTTCAAGCCTCATAGTTCTTGAAAGAACACAAAAAATGATCAGAATGGGTGTGAACAACATGTGTGGAACAGATGTAAGATGGCCTTCTTATGCTTATAATATCGCAGGAGAATCAAATGCCCCTATGAGATGGGTAACAAATATGTCTCATTCAAGCCTTCAAGAAATCAGCTATGGCACCAATCACATTTCTTGTTGACTAAGAAGTTCCTACTTCAAATCTAAGATCTCCTTTCTCTTGTCTCAATTTTTTTCACTTCTGGATTTTGATTAGCACACTTAAATTTTTTTGTTTATAATTTTTTTATGTAGATAATTGGACAATGATATGTAGCTGTTCACAGTACAGAGGTACATTTTTTCATTATTCAACTCTAATATATATATATATTATCTCAAAACATATTCTGTGGCCTGTGTTAATCTTTGCTTAGAAGGTTGCTAATGGTTTCTTTGTTTATCTTTTTGTTATAGTTTTTGGGGTTTTCTTTTTTCACGTTTATTGAGTTTTGGTAATGTGAGGAAGTGGCGGTAGTTCACATGCAAGAATAGTAAAAGATATAGACTAGTCTGCAATAATCTGCGGGTTGTGCCTATTTGTTGTACAACACACACAGAGTGAACATTCTTTGATGGTATTATTTATCATACATAAAAAGTTATATTTTCAGAAATTATTTTCTGGGCAAAGTGTACAATTGTACAGAGTGATATTTCATTTTCAAAAGTAAATGCAAGTGTATCTTATAGTAAATGTCATATCCCTGATGATGGTGTAGCCGAAATTTATTTTTCACTTCAGGTTCAAGGAGTCACCGCAGAATATTTATGAAATGCCTGAACATTTAAGCCAGTCACATTATTTTAAAATATATATAATTTTCTAAGGTAACATTTTTGTTGTTTCATTCTCGCGCTTCATGTGAATTGTGATGAGTTGGTTTGCCCCTTTAAGTATGGTTTTGAAGAATGATGAACTAATTTGGTTAAAGTTGTTTTTCTTTCAAGCCTGAAAAAGAAAAGGAAGATTTCTTGTTCAGTGTGTTTTCCTGTATTTGTTGGGTTTTTCTCTTTGTCTGTTATTCACTTTCTGATGGGATGTGGTGTCCAAAGTAGAGTCACAACAAAACACATCCCTTTAATGTGTGTGGGGGTCACCTACAATGATTTGTCCCATAACGACCCACGTATCACATGCCACTGCTGAGGAATAGTAAATGCAAATCCAATTTTGAGAGCATTAATGGATAAGGGTATATGTCTTTTTCTTATTCAGTGGTGTTAGTTCTTATGAGGAAGTGACAGAGGATGGGATTTGACTCTTGAAACAGTGTTGTTCATCAATTAAAATATAATCGAGGTTTATATATATATATATATATATATGTGTGTGAATTATTGGAGCCTTGTTGGTTAATGTTGAAAGGTAGCCACACAAACATTTGGCATGTGAGGGCAATGTGAGGAAGAATACTAGTAAAATACTCGTACTTTTTCAACATGCTATTTATTGGTAATGGTAAGTGAACTGATGGTGATTTTTTTTTTTAAAACACTCATTTTATAATTGATTAAATTTATTAAAAAAATTAATGACTCTCACATGTTATTTTAACGAATCTCTCTTGATTTAGTATATGTTTATATAGGTGTTTGTTCACCTGTAACACCAAATGTTAAACAAATTTTTAACATTTTTACAAAAAAAAAAAAATTGATGTAAAATTATCAAAATCTGTAATTTTTAATAAAATTTAACCAGCAACAGAATGAGTGTTTGAAGGGACAAAACTTACACATAGTTTCTTAAATATGGTAGATGTTGATCTTTAATGTTTGAGTTTTATCACAGTAGTATTTATATATGTATATTAATGAGAGCTGCAATAAATATAAATGTATAATATCAAAGTAAAATTTTAACTTTGATTGGAAGAACATTGCTTAAGTTATGTCCTATTTGAATATGTCCTATTTGAAGAAATGTTACTAATATTTCTCTTATTAGTAATACTTGAATAATACTAATATACTTTTTTTTAACAATTTCTTTTTAATACTATTTTTCATTAGAAACTACTGAAAATTGCAAATTTTGATAAGTCTTACTTGTCATTTAGACTTTGAAGCAAGGCTTATAAAATTTGTGATTTTTCAATAAGTTTTAGTAAATAATAAAGATAATGTCAATGTTTTAAAAATTGAACCAAACATTAAACCAGTTAAGGTACTGGATTAGTGGGTTATAGGTTGAATCGACGAGTCACTAATTAAACTGAATGACCTAGTCTTTATTAAGAAATTTAAAAAAAATTATACATATCATATATATTTCATACACATAAATTATGATATCTTAAAAGTGCTTCCAAATAGACAAAAGACTGAAAATTTTTATTTTCATAGTATACATATTAAATATATAAAAATTATATTTAATATGATATATAGAAAGAAAAAAAAATTTGCTATGCATATAACAAACAAAATCATTAAATTAGTGAAAAAAAAATTATTTTCATGATATGGTATACATATTAATATATGAAATTTATGTTTTAGATGATATATAAAAATAAAATGCACATATGTGATAAATAAAAGTATTAGATTAATGGTAAGTATACTCCCTCTAAAATTACAAGACTTGGTTTCAAGTCTAGCTTGTGTCAAATTTTTTTGGATTTTACATGTGTTACTTTCAAACAACTAGAGTTGTCAATTTGAGTCTGGCTCAACTAGCTCGCAAATAAGGTCAGAACGATCCATTTTTAAAAAAAATTCGAATCGATCCACTTTACAAAATCAGTTCAATTATCCGACCCATTTTTACAAAGTGGATCGATTCAGTTCGATTTGGTTTTCAGTGGATCGGTTCAATTTGGTTTGGTTTTTTTTTTAAAATCGATTCATATATGAGTAAAAAATGTATATCTACACCGCATCAAACCGATCCAATTTTAAAAAAAAAAATTGATCCGTATTAAAAAAAATCCACTATTTAAAAAATGGATTGGTTAACCGGTCGACTTTTATAAAACGGATTGGTTCGGTTTGTTTGGATTTTTCAAAAAATCAATCCATGAACACCTCTAGTTAAGTTCGCTGAACCAAATGGACCCAAATTGATGTGACCCGTTAAACAAATAAGAGAAATAATATTATTGTCATTGTCAATCTATAAATATGAATTGTATTATAAAATAAAATAATAATAGTAATAGTCTTAATTTCATTCTTTTGTGTTCGCTTATAAAGTTGTAGTTACAAGCTTAAAATTAGGGTTAACTATTATGAGAGTTTCTCCACTCCTTTATCAAGTATTAATCATGTAAGACGTTATATTATTAAATGTATTAGATCTCCTAAGTACCAAGATGTTGTGGTCATGTTGGATAACAAACCTAGTTTGTTAAAGTAGTAAAACTTGATTCCAAGACTTATAAAGATGCACTTGCTAGGTGTATTATCAAGCATGATCTTCCATACATGATGAATTTAAAAGAACTTGGGCGGTAAATAAAGTGCTAAATCCTGATTTTAAACTCAATTATAGAAATAGTTCAACACTTGATCATGATAAAGTGTTTTTAATTGAATAGGAAAAGTTAAAGAATGTGTTAACTACTATTCTAGAATATGTTTAACTTATGATGTATGGACATCTATAACTAATTCCAATATTATATGATTGACTAATTGTTTAGCTATACCTAGTATATAGTATTAATTAATAATATTATAATTTATTTATTTTTATTTGTAAAAAATATATTTAATTTTTTAATGTACTTTTCTAATTAGGCCATCTGGTAAGGGCTTAACATAAGTTAGGTTGGATCAATAAATGGCAGCTCAAAAATAATATAGATCAGGTTAACTTAACCTAAAATAACATTTGACTCGTGTAGGTTAGGTTGATTTGGATTAGCCCAACCCGTTTGACACCTCTACAAACAACAATGAGGATAGCTGATGTGTAGACACGTGGTGCAATGTGCAACTACTAATGTAAAGTGTGGTGCAGTCACTAGTGTAAAAATTGGATTTAAAATCAGAGTTTTAAGATCGATTATAAGGTAACCAATCTTAAAAGTGACGCGGTGACAATTTTGTAAATAATATGAACACTTTTAAGATCGGTTATTTTATAACCGATTTTAAAAGTACTACTTTTAAAATCGGTTATTTCAGAACCAATTTTAAAAGTAGCACTTTTAATACTTTTAAAATCAGTTATTTCAGAACCGATTTTGAATGTAGTATACAAAATTGGTTCTTAAATAACCAATTTTAAAAGTATCGTCAGAAACCTTTTATATTTCCCTCCAATCTCATTCTCTTTAATCTTTCCCTCCATTCGTTTTTTTACTCTCTCTCGCTCTCATTTTCTAAAGAGGTAAATTTCGTTATCATTTTCGTTTTCGTTTTCCTCTTCTTATGTCTCTTTTCGTTTTTTCATGCGCTTCTCTTGTTTCTATTTTCATTGTAGGTTCATTTTGGCAAAATTTCGAAACTGGAACGGCCCGTTCTGAAAGAAGAACGACCTATTCTGCATGTCGTTCTCCTTTCAGCACGGGTCGTTCTGATTGGAGAACGACCCGTTCTTCAAGGAGTACGGCCCGTTCTCCAAGCAGAACAACCCGTACTGAAAGGAGAACGGGCCGTTCTAATTCCGTTCTTCAAATATTCTTTTTTCATAATCTGGAACGGCCCGTTCCAGTTTTGGAACGGCCCGTTCCAGTTTATTTTTTTTTTCTTGGCCAGAACTTTTAAGATCGGTTATAAAACAACCGATCTTAAAATTTAACTTATAACCGATTTTAAAAGTCTAATTTTTAAAATCGGTTACGGAATCAATTTTAAAAGTTAAAAATAACCGGTTTTAAAAACCTTTTTTTCCACTAGTGAGTGTGGAACAACATGTGGTATAGCAGGTTCCTATCGATTTAAAGGTCGGGTTGATGATGTGTTACAAGTCAACAAGATGTCCAATCTAAAATTACTATCAAACTAACTACTGATTTGATTTTTGGTTGAATTGATCGGATTCCTCGATCAAATTTTAAAATTATGAAAAATGTGCTAGAAAAATGTTATTAGTAATAATATTTATAAGAATCTTATTAAATGATGTGTTTCCTTCTTTATTTAGTGAATCTTATAAATTAAGATTTATTTTAAGTGTTAAAAAAGATTGCCAAAGAATGAGTCGACAATAAGTATGCTATTGTAAGAGAGGCTGCCTTGTTGAGATAGGTACAAAAGGAACAAATTAAAACAACGGGATGGTCTTGCATGCATTACTTGCTTGGTTGAGCATTTTATTGGTTAAGATTCACGTTTAATTATCACGTTAAATTATAA